TTCCTCCGTCTCTTTCTCCTTCCCCCCGCATCCGATCGATCATCCCTCCGATCGATCCTCCGTCCCTCTCCCTCACCTCTTCCATAGAGCTCTGCCGTCTCTTCAGATCCAGGTGGTCGAGTGACCCAGCCAGTATGCCAAGCAGGCTGTATCCCTGGTGGCGAGCACTGGGCCCGACCGTCCAGACCCTTCAGTTGTCGTGTGAGACTCAGCCAGTATACATCGCAGGCTGTTCCCCTGGCGGTGAACACTGGGCCACACCAGACGGCGGAAGCGATTCCCCCGCCCGCCTAATGTCTCCCCTTCTCACCTCTCCCAGGCATATTATAATTCCCCCGTTTCCATCCTTCCCTCCGTGGCCCCAATGCCCAGCTTGTTCCCACACAGGCTGTTCCCCTGGTGGTGACACCTGGGCCTGATCATGCCCCCCCGCAGTCGCCCGCGGTTTTTTTGATCCTGATGAGGAGGGACTCTATATCTCTCTCTCTCTCTCCCTCTCTTTCTCTCTCTTTCTCTCTCTCTCTCTCTCTCTCTCTCTCTCTCTTTCTCTCTCTCTCTCTCTCTCTCCCGCCCACACATGACCATCCGTTACCCTCATCTCCCTCTGTGTTCCCGTGCTTTACGTGCTGCCATGTCGTGCTTGAGCGATATCAGGGACCGTGCTTGCCCACGCGACGCTCACAGCAAGAACGGTGGTCGCCGCCATAGCCTGGATTGAACATCATCGCAGACAGTGACTCTCTCTCTCTCTCTCTTTCTCTCTCTCTTTCTCTCTCTCTCTCTCTCTCTCTCTCTCTCTCTCTCTCTCTCTCTCTCTCTCTCTCTCTCTCTCTCTCTCTCTCCTCTCTCTCTCTCTCTCTCTCTCTCTCTCTCTCTCTCTCTCTCTCTCTCTCTCTCTCTCTCTCTCTCTCTCTCTCTCTCTCTTTCTCTCTCTCTCTCTCTCTCTATCTCTCTCTCTCTCTCTCTCTCTCTCTCTCTCTCTCTCTCTCTCTCTCTCTCTCTCTCTCTCTCTCTCTCTCTCTTCGCGTTTCATGGCCCTGCTGGCAGCCTCCAGCCGATCAATGCGCACATCGAGCCGCAGCGCATACACAGCTTGAAGGCGGCGCCCCTTCAGAAAATTCGGGGGCGCACCTCGGGGCTGAGCTATGCCGCCGTTCTCATCGGTGGCCCTGGAGCCAGGCGAACGTCGGGTTCCCTTGATTTCTGAAGAAGTGCCCGAAGTCTCGGCGGCTTCTAGGCCAGGTGATCCGTTTGGGTCGCCCGTTTGTCTCGGCGCGGTGAAGTCGAGCAGGGTTACTTTACTCGCGGGTGCGAAGTCAACAAAAATTGCGGTTAGCGCTGGTCGGCTTGATAGGCGGCGCATGCCCGGCAGGATCTTGCCCCCCGACGCTTCGCCCATGGACTTGCTTGCGATCGTCGGGAACCCTATGATCACATTCCTGTGGTTCTTCAGTTTTCTCCTGATCGGTCGGGCGCCCGCAAGCTACCCGAATGGTTCGCGGGCCACCCCGAGTTCGAGGTCCCGCTCAACGAGGTCGCCTTGGACGCCAGGCTCTCGGAGTATACCAGGGGGCGCATCTCGGAGCTGAAGGAGCGCAAGCACGCCAGTAAAGACCGCTTTCTCGGGCGAAGCTTTCTGGACCCCGAGTCATCAGGGGCAATTCGGGCAAGGGCTATATTGGGTTCGTTTCTCCGGGAATCCGAACCCGAGTTGCCCCGGGCCCGAGTTGCCCCGGATAATCCGGGCGCCCAGAGCCGCAAATCATCAGGGGCGACTCTGGCCAGGGCAAACTCGGGGCCGCTTTTGGGGGAAATCCGAACCCGCGTTGCCCCGGGCCCGAGTTGCCCCGGATAGCTCGGGCGCCCAGTTTTTAGTCATGGGCCAATATCCGATGGGCAGAAGGTCGCCGTCTGTCTCAAGATCGCGCGCGTGGCCCAGCAGGCGAATTTCGCCCTCGCGGGCAGGTGCTTGCGCCCCCGGCCAGTCTTGCTTAATTTCTACGGCGGCGAAATCGGCGCGCTCTCTGGATGCGATGGTTTTCGCCAGTATCTGCAAGGAAAGCGCCGTGATATTCTGCGCGCTGAGACCAGCAATGTCGCAGAAAACCTGCACGCCTCTCGCGCGGGCCCGAGGCCGTCTCAGTTGCACAACCTCCTCAGGCTATGGTCTCCTAGACGTCGTCATATTATTCTCGCGCGCGTTCCTGGCCCCGAAGGCGGGCCTTCCGGCCCCCTGGACCAAAGCGCTGCCGACCTCGCCCAACACTGGGGCGCTGTTCGTGCTCATCGGCCCCAGTGGCCGAACTTCGAGACAACTAAGCAGCGGCTCTTCCGGAAGGTCCAGCAGGTCTCGCCTGGCATCCAGCGGCGATCGCTCAAGCATGAATGTCTAGGCATCATGTCGGCGAAGCGGGGCGCGTCTGCAGGGCCCGATGGCATTGGATACGCAGCGCGACAGGCTGGCGGCGACCTCTGCCACGAGCGCGAGATGAAAGGAAGTTCTCAACGACTCCCTCACGGCTCCGCTTCCGAAGGAGCAGGGCGCCGGGGAGGGCGACGCGGCGAATTCGTTCGACATCTCTCGCGCTGCGAGTGCTACTCGGCCGATCCCCTTTTCGAATCGGACAACAAGCTGATTGCCTCTGCCTTTGCCGAGCTTTTGTCGATTCAAGCTCCTCTTTCGGCTTCGGACTCGCAGAAGGGCTTCGCGCGGAACCGTAATAGGCCCGACCACATCTTCTGTTTGGAATCTCAGTTCCTCGACCTCTACTCTTTTCAACATTGCCAGCGAGCGGGGCTCTTCCTGCTCGATTTGCCGCTGCGTTCCCGCCGTTGCACCGCAACTGCAGCATTGACTGCTTGGCCTCTCTTGGAGTGCCGCGGCATCTCTTGTTTGCTATAACTGAGCTCTACAGGAATGCGGTCACAGAAGTCGTTGTCCGTGGGCACGTCTTCCCTGGATGCCTGATTAAGCGAGGTGTTGAGCAGGGTTGCCCGATGAGGGGGGGATTTCCGCGTTATGTCTGGATCCCATGGTCCGTCATCTGGAAAATGCTATCGGGCCACATCCTGGCAGGCTTCTTGCGTTCGCCGACGACATAGGCGTTGTCCCGAAGGACTCGTCGCGCTCTCTTCCCGTGGTTTTGGACCTCGCGGTCAGAATGGCAACTGCGACGGGGACCCAGCTCAACCCCAAGAAGTGCGTCATCGGTTCCCTGCAGGCCTGGATCGGGCCGCCGCCGAGTCTCTCTTCCTCCAGGTAGGCTTTGACATCTCCCCGCTCAAGATTGGAACCGACGCTAGCTATCTTGGTATGTTCATTAGTCCTGGTGATCCGTGGACGATGTGGATTGGGCCTCCGGCCAAGCTGGAAAAAAACGATTGCGTGATATTCGTGGGCTGTCTTTGGGGCTCGCACAACATACGTATGCATGCAACACGTTTGGTTTCCCCCTGCTCAGCTTTCCCGCCCAGTTCTTCCCGCACACCCCGCTGTGTTTCGTGAAGAGCGCGAAGCTCATCAGTTTCTCGCGGCGGGTCCGCGTTGGGCAATCCCCGCGCACGTGCTTGCCAACGCCGGCCAGATCGGCCTCCCCGTGCAGTTCCGCTCTGTGGGCCTCGAAAGCCAGGCCGCGATGTACCGAGTCTGTCTGAAGTTTGAGGTTGTCCTTGGGACGTACCACCGCTTTCGCGAGCTCCGAGACCCTGGAGTTGACCGTCTTGTTGTTTCTCGCAGGCTCGACTCGGTTCAGGAGTTAATCACCTTCTCCCTGTGCTCCGCGCACGAGAGGTTACAGAGTATTCCGTCGACCCCCCCAGCCCCCAACGAGGCCCCCGTTCAGCCAAAGATCTTCAAGAGGCTGAAGCTCTTAGACCCCCAGAGCTACCCCTTCCGCGCCCGTTGCACTCATGTTTAGAGTTCGGAAGTTTGGGGCCGATGTTCAGTCGAGGCGTTCTGACCAAGTTTTCAGTCATCTGCGCGTCGCCTCCAGCGTGGCCTTTTTTTCGTCTGCGCTGCGTACCTGCGGTTCATTGCAATGGATGGAGCACCACTGCCAGATACCACCAGGGCCGTCAGGTGCGTAGGTTCGGGCGGCGCGCGATGGGAGGCGACAGTGTCCTGCATCATCGTTGGTGTCCGTTGTTGATTGCTTTGTTTCCTCGTCTCCTCCCTGGTCTCCCCGAAGATTATTGCGAGTGGTCGCCCGAAGGTAGACTGCTGGCTTGCTCTCGGCCGCATCTGGAGGCCGTGGCTATGAAATCCGTTCTGCTCGTGCATGGCCTTGCATTTTTCAGCGTTCAATTTCCTGCGTGCCCACAAGAGATGGGGAAACGAAGCTCTTGCAGCATTGCTATCTGCGAGAGCGCGGGCCATCGCCAAGAGGGGGGAGGCCGTTCGGGCCCTTCTGAAGAGACCTGGACACTGAAAGGCGAGCGGGTCATCATCATCATCACCATCATCATCAGCAGCATCATAATCAGTTCTCCCTCTCCCTATCCTTCTCTCTCTCTTTCTCTCTCTGCGTCTCTCTCTCTCTCTCTGTCTCTCTCTCTCTCTCTCTTTCTCTCTCTCTCTCTCTCTCTCTCTCCCTCTCGCTCCCTCGGGGAGACAGGGCGAGAGAGAGATAGAGGGTTGAACTACAAGCCAGAGATTCAGCTAGGCTGCCCCGCGCGGCCACTTGAGCGGCGGGCCTGAGGGCTCGGTCTCTACTTGAGGTCGGGGTGACAGGAAGCCCGCTACCTTTTTTCCGCCAGCTGCTGTGTGTGGACGGTGCACACTGCGCCCATTGCATGATTTGGGGATCATCATCATCAGCATTACCAACATCATCATCAGCGTCATCATCACCATCATCATCAGCATCATCGTCATTGTCGTCGTCATCTTCATCACAAGCGTCATCCGCCTCAGCATCATCACCATCACCGTTATCATCAGCATGACCAGCATCATCGTTATCCCAATGCCCCGCTCTCGGCGCTCCCCTCCCTCGCACGAGGCGGGCCTGACAGCAAGCGCGAGTGCCCCCACCATCAGGGTCAGCAGCAGCCTGGCGAACGCCGGCACCTTCTCGCTGGGACCAGGACGGGAAGGGGTCCTCCTCGCCCTCCTCGTCGCGGAGCGTACAGTGTCACACCACAGATCTGCTCGCGGGGGCCCTCGCCGGGCCACCCGGGCCGCCAGAAACCGCCTCGGGATGCAAAGCCAGCCTCGGGGAAGGGGCCAGAGGATTCTGCCTCCGCGCACTGGAAAAACCACGCCATCGCGTGCCTGGGTCTCGCCTTCGCTCTGCGCTGCCGGACCGCGCGAGCGGCATGCAACAGCGGGTCCGCTTGCGCCGGCATCCGCGGGCAGGCCCGCGCAAGGCCGTGCGTGAGCGCCCTCGTTCCCGCGCGGCCTGCCACCCTGGCGGCCCGCGTAAGCCGCGGCGTGAGCTCGCGGTGCCTTCCCGCGTGAGACCCGCTTCTTGTCGTCGCTCACGTGTTGCGCAACACCCGCTTGCCTCAGGGGCAGCGATGGGGGAGGACAGGCACAGGGGGGGTCGTGTCGACTCGGCCCCCCAGTCACTCCCTGATCGCCGATAGGGGCCCAGTAGCCCCAGCCTGCCCCAGGAGATTCCTGGAACCTTCCAAAACAAAAAAAAACTAAAACCTGCCTCAGGAAGGCTTTTGGAAGTTTTTTGGGCCAACCCCTCCTGGAACCGTGAGGGAGGTTTTATGAAGGTTTTTGACAGGTTTGTTTCGAAGGTTTCTGGAAGGTGTTTGGGAGGTTTGTTTGTAAGGTTGTTGGAAGGTTTTTTGAAGGTTTTTGAAAGGTGTTTGTAAGGTGTTTGGAATGTCTTGGGCGGTTTCGCTAAATGCTGGAAGGTTTTGGGAAGGCTTTTGGAAGGTGTTTTGGACGGTTGTTGGAAGGTTGTTTGAAAAACCGTCCTAAAATTGTCCTAAAACCTTCCTCAGGAAGGTTCCAGGAACCCTGGAACCTTCCAAAAAACCTTCCTAAAACCTTCCGCAGGAAGGTTTTTGGAAGGTGTTTGGGCCAACCCCTCCTGGAACCTTCCTGAGGCAGGTTTTAGGAAGGTTTTTGGAAGGTGGTTTGGAAGGTTTTTGGAAGGTTTGTTTGAAGGTTGTTGGAAGGTTTTTGGAAGGTTGTTGGAAGGTTCTTTGGAAGGTTTTTGGAAGGTGTTTGGAATGTATTGGGCGGTTTCGCTAAATGCTGGAAGGTTTTAGGAAGGTCTTTGGAAGCTTTTTTTTTCAAGGTGTTTGGAAGGTTTGTGGAACGTGTTTGAAAGGTTTTTTGTAAGGTTCTTGGAAAAACCTTCCTAAAACCTTCCTCGCTCCCCCCCCCCTGGAAAACCTGCCGAAAAACCTTCCTCGGGAAAGTTTCAGGAGGAGGGTCGTCGGAACTCCCGCACCGGTCTCGCCCCCTCCGCCGTCTCGCGCGTCGGGCCACTTCCAGCTGTGGCCCCACTAGGGCCGCCCCCGCGAGAACGGGGACCTGGCCAGGCTTTCTGGTGCCCTGCGCTGCGCGTTGATTCATACCTGCTCTCTATCGCCTGCCGATTGGGGTGGGGGCGGGGGCGAGGTTCAGCAGTGCTGCAGACAGCCGCCAATCTCGCCGCCCCAATGAGATGCCCCCCCGCCACGTTCGCTGAGTGGAATTTGCATTCGAAGAAATCTAGGAAAAGGCGCTAGAGCATTTGTCCGTGGCGGATGTTTGCCGCGGCCAACTCAGTCCTGATTTGTTTGTGGTAGCGAAGCCTCCCGAACAGACTCTGAAAGAAGCTTCGCCAGGGTTTGCCTCGAACCCCAACCAATTGGTGGAGAGCTTGGGACCTTTCAGTTGCCTGCCGCCTCGACAAAAACTCGCGAGAGTGGCGACAGGAAGATCCAGAGAAGGGCCGCCCTCGCCATCATCCCCCCTCTACCCCGATCCTCGCAAAGTTTTATTGAATGGCCGCCCGTCGAAAAACCTACCCTGAGGCTCGGCACCAGATCTCCCTGGCACGCAGTACAGTCTGGATTCAAGAAACAACCTGGAACTTGGGCGAACGCATTCTAAAAGACGTCCTGTGGGGAGTGGGCTACAGTACCTTGGTTCCACGAGCCCGAGAATAGAGCCCCATGCCACAGGTTTCGTTGTGTAGGCTGCCAGGACCGTGCGTTCCAGCATCCTGCCGCTAATTAGTAGTCGCCCCATCCCCTCTTGCCCCGTTGAGCTCCTTGGTCCTTCGCCCCCTCCTCGCAGTATCCGGCCACGCCTCCTACATCCTTCCGGTCGTTCAATCACGTAAGTAGTTGACCACCTGATGTTGCAGGCATTCCCGCAGAGGTTGCCGTCCAGGTCGCCCCCTAGCTCAGAGCCGAGGCGGGGCGAGTGCGCGGTGGCCGGGGCATCGTGGACCAGGCCCGCGGCCGGGTGCCAGGAGGAGGAGGAGGAGGAGGAGGAGGGAGATGGAGGAGGAGGAGGAGGAGGAGGAGGAACAGGAGGAGGGAAGAGGAGGAGGAGGAGGAAGAGCAGCAGAGGGCGGCAGTGCAGCAGCGAAACGGGACCCGGAGGATGTCGGAAGGAGGCACGCGTGAGGAGGGCAAGCGCGTTTCGCGTCGGGCTTCGCTGCCCGGGCGTTGGGATATCTCGCTGGAAGGCAGTGTTCTGAGGCCAGGTCCGATTTGACAATCAGAGCGTGCGCTCCGACCCCATCTGCATCTTCGCGCAGGCGAGAGGGCTTGGGGAAGCTCCTCGCCCCCCCGCCCACGCGGCTCGGCGGCGCGCCCGTGTAGTAGACCTCGGGAAAGGCGCCGGGCCATAGTCCAGGAGGAGGAGGAGGAGGAGGAGGAGGAGGCGGAGGAGGAGGAGGAGGAGGAGGAGGAGGAGGAGGGGTGGGCGCGACGGGGGGAAGCGGGCCAGCGGGCGCGGGGATTGGGGGACGAGCGTCCGCGAGGGGGGACGGGCGTCCGCGCGACGGGGCCGCGGAGGGGAGGCCGTGTCTGACGCCGCGGGGCTGGCGCGCGGGATCGCGCCGCCCTGGTTTTCCTCCCCTACTCATCGTCCCTCCTCGTCCCCCTCCTCCTCCTCCTCCCCCTCCTCCTCCTCTCCTCCTCCTCCTCCTCCTCCTCCTCCTCCTCCTCCTCCTCCTCCTCCTCCTCCTCCTCCTCCTCTCCTCCTCCCTCCTCCTCCTCTCCTCCTCCTCCTCCTCCTCCCCTCGGCCTCCTCCTCCGCCTCATCCTCCTCCGCCTCCTCCTCCGCCCTCCGCCTCTCCTCTCCTCCCCTCTCTCCTCCTCCTCTCCTCCTCCTCCTCCTCCTCCTCCTCCTCCTCCTCCTCCTCCTCCTCCTCCTCCTCCTCCTCCCCCTCCCCCTCCTCCCTCGCTGTCTGAACGGATGCACGGGTGCGTCGGCAGCGGGCCTGACAGCAGCGCCCGGGCGTCGGCGTCCACGTCGGCCGTCCGGCCTCAGCCTCGGCAGCGTTCTGGGGGGCGCGCCTGGTTCTTTGGTCAGGTCCGGGGCCCCGTGAGGTGGGGAGGACATTCTCGCGTTCCCCGCGTTCGATGTCCCTCTTGCCACCGACGGCGATCTCTTCCACTATCGCGCGTATCGCTCGTGCGGCGTGATCGGTGGCTTGGCGGAAGCACGCGTCGAGGTAGGGTTTTCAGATAGATTATTATCGGGTTGGGAGGATGGGATTGGGAGAATTGATCATATCATTTGTATTATTGTGCATGCTGAAGGTACGTGTTAGTGTGGCATGTGTACGGGCATTGGCCGTCGCATCCTCCAACCCCCTTGCAGCTTGAATTGCTTGCCGATTGCGCTGGTACTTCTGCTTGAACTTGGGTTGGCTCTTCGCTTTCATACCGCTGAAAACGACGTTCCCACTCATCGCATTCACGCGTCTCTCCTTCATCGTCAGCTGTTCCTCCTGAAGAACCCGGCTCTGTGCGTCACTGGTTGGGTTTCTACAGTTTGGAAGTACCTCTGGAGTCCGATCGGCAGCGATGCTGCACCGCCGGTGCCAACGGCTCATGCAGAAGTCATGGCGCAACCCATGCAGAAAGGAAGCGGACCAACTCAGTAGTGATTCCGTATCGCGAACGGGACGCAATACGGAATTCATTCTTACTTCCGTGTCAGGAATGGAACGCAAAACGGAAGTTGTTGCGGTTCCGCGACCTCCCAAAAGTTGTATGAGCACCAGGAAAAATCTATTGTGAATTCCGCATCAGCAACGGATCGCAACACGGAACCCGATGCGGAATTTACGATCCATTGAGCAATTACCAGAAACCCCCGGCATTGTTCGTGCCCTTGCTCCACCTCCAGTATTCGCCGCGCCGCTTCAACACCTGAGATGGTCCCAGATTGCTCTCAGAGGGCCCAGAACACACAATGAGGGCTCTTGGACGGCCCCACCGACGGCCTCGGCAAGGCTCCAAGAGGGCCCCGAGAGGGCCACGGAGTAGGCTGCAGGGTGCAGCCTGCGTCTTGGGAAGTTCCCAGGGGTCCTCGATGACCCCGAGAGGGCCACGGAGTAGGCTGCAGGTTGCGACCCGCTTCTTAGGAAGCTTGCGCGGTGTTGGACTGGCGGCCCATGCGCTGCGGTGACAACACGTTCCCCCTTCGCCAGAAGCAGGCGGCCGAAGGTATCCTTCATTGCATCGGGATGCTTTTGCTCATACCCTGCAGTCACACCGAGGCGTTTGGGGATGAGGACGAGGAGCTTTCTTGGGCCAGTATCCTCGAGATCGTAGTTTTGACTTTAAGAGCCATGCCAGTCACCGCCGCGCCCGCTCGCGAGATCGTGCGACAGGCTGACGCTCACAAGAACCCCGTCGCGTGGACGTGGCGGTTAAAACAAAAATGCAGTCTCCCAACCCCTTCCTTCCAACACGACAGTTGTCCTTCTCGGGTATGGCAGCCAGGCCGCAGCAGATTTTGAGATTCACCTGCGAAGGCGGCCAGGGCACTGCACGCGAGCACGTTATCAAAAGTGCTCTCCTCAGCAGACGCACAGGTAAAGAATCGATCGCCTCGGTATCACGTTTGTCCTTTTCCAGGAAGGGCGCCATATCGGGGCTGCTCCTGGACGTGC